GGAAAGAAATGAAGGGTATATTGGACATTTCACTTCCAAAGTCAACACTTCAAAAAAATGAGAAAAAGTCCAAATGGGAAGATTTTTCCCGGACGGAGGGAGTATAAAAAAATAGAAAAAAATAATAATATCTAGAAATATTGAAATAAAATCTAAAAATAAAAAAAATATAAAATCTAGAAACAAGGTCCCCCCACCAAGAGTACTTTTCCACTACAATATTGATCAGCGCAACAGTAATGGTCCTACTTGTCCAAATTACAGTCAACATTGGGAATGTAGTATGGTTCCATACTTCTCCAAAATGTACAAAATTAGAGATACGACAAAGACAAAATTGGACAAAATTTTGTTAAATATAGACGAAATTTTGTACGGAGTATCTTTCTGTGAGTCCCACGCCACATTTATGTCAGATGAGAATTGAAAAGTCAAAATTTCTCATAAATTCCAACTTTTATCTTCGTCTTCTTCTTCTTCTTCTTCTTCTTCTTCTTCTTTTCTCGTCGCTTCGCTTCCGCCGCTTCCACCGCTTCCAACACTTCGACTGCGACTCCCTCTCTTTATACCCTCACGAACACTCTCCAACGCCGCTGTGAGTAAAAATGCCGCAATCAGATTTCGTTGTGGTCATCAAAAGGGATGCTTATGCCGGCACGGTAAGATTTCATTTGAATGCATATGACTAACACATGCATGCTTGGCTTTAAACTCGATTTCATGATTTACAGGTCATTCCTTCTCGCTATCATCCACGGGAGGAGAGATTGGATATATATACTCGGATTGGGTGCTATCCAGTCCGAGTTGTTCTTGGAGATGACGGCAAGCATCGATTCGCTGCCGAGAATGGATGGAGATACTTTCTTTATGACCACCAATGCCAAAATCTTTGGCATATTCTGTTCAAAAAATTATCAGAGACAGCATACACAGCCATTGTGATTTCGACCCTTGGTTCAGAAGTTGACTACCCAATAAGAATTCCTGATTATGATTCTGGTAAGACTTTGAAATATGGTATATTTTACCCGCCCTCCCCGAATTCTTTCTAATTCTAACTGTAATGTATGCGGTGATTTGCAATTATCAGATGCAGATGATGTTACAGATGATGATGATGACGTCTTTGTTTGCAAGTTGGAAGAATCACACTTTCTGGAGTCATCCCAGAAGCTGGTATGCTTTTAAAATATCATTTTTAATGAACAATATCATTATCTGATCTTTTTGACCTTTTTGACCAAATTCGACCCAATTCGATGTATTTGACCTTTTTGACCAAATTCGACCAATCACAAATTTTTTGTTCTTGATGAATTTTTGGAATACATGGTATATTTTCCTCCATCAATTAATGACTTTTAATCCGTTATTGTCTCAGCCCTTAAGTGAAGAATTTTGCGAAGCAAATGGATTTGTAGAGGGAAAAACAGATGTCACTCTCATAGGACCCAACATGCAGCCTGTGGTCTGCACACTCAAGGTTGATTGTATTGGTGATGGGTTCCTGAAGAGAATGTGGCGTTACTTTGTTGATTCGAATGGTTTGCGTGTTGGGGACAAGCTTGTGATGAGGCCGGTGGGGAACAACACCTTTATGGTGGGAGTTTACCGTCATCACAGACGGTAAACAAAAATTTAATTGAATTTTTTTTAATGAACATTATCATTATCTGATCTTTTCCAGGTATGCGTGCCTGGGGATTTAATGTGTTTGTACAACTCTTTTTTCGGTTAAGTTCTTAGGCATCTTTGATAACTCGGGTTTGGTTTAGTACTTTTTATTCAATTTTAGGCATTTTTAATATTTTTAGTATTTAATTCTTAGTTATTTAGCTTAGGTTTATTCTAACTTTCATTTTTTACAATCTTTTAATTTTCTCTCATAAATAGCATGTTTTTAATCATTTTTTTACATTATTTTATTTTTATTTTATTTTTCCTAACCCAAGTTATCAGATATCTTATTTGTGGAGGAAAGTATAGCAAAAGACCAAATCGGAGTTCAAGTTTGAAAGGAAGCACTTGAATTTGGGGCAAAGCCCAAACCCATCATCAAAACAAGTTAATTGGCCCATCCATTGCTCTCCTGATTCGCACAAGAAAGACAGAAAAAAGAGAAGAAACGCAACTTCTTCTTCATTAAGGCAAGCGAAGTAAACACTCCAAGTTCGACCGGCGAAGCATTCAACGCATATCTTCTCCAACGTCTCTCCATTCAATTCGCCCACACGCTCCAACGCGGGAAGAATTCAACGGCAAGTGGTTCTCCTTGGACTATAAATTGAAGACAAATTGCAACCAGAGGAGGGGGGAAATATCACGCAGAGAGCCGCGGCTCTAGGCCGTGGCAACTGAGATTGAAGCCGCGCACCAGAGGAGGAAGCAGACGGCGGCGGACCACTGCTCGCCGGCGGACGACGATGGTGGGCAGCAACCTTTTTCAAGCTCCAATCCTTTAATTTCTTCGTCTTCTTCAACAAAGTGGTAACCCTAGCTTGTTTCTCCAATTTTGTTCTCCAATTCTTTGTAAAGTGTTGTTTTTAGTTTAATTTTTACATTTTTGTTTATTTGTTTGTGTTAATTTCATAAATTCCAAAATGGTTGGTGTTCTTCTTTTTGGGTTTTTTTTAATGTTTATATATTCCCTTATGAATGAGAATTGATTCTTTCTTATTTACTTCAATTATTGCACAAGTTGTTGTTAAATTGATTGAATTGTTTCAAATTCATAAGTAGGTTGTTATGTAGAATTCGGTTTTTGTTGAAGCTATTTTAGCTCCATAAGATAGTTAAATAAATTCTGAATTCATACGTGTTTCTTTGTTGTGCTTGTGTTCGTTGATTTTAAGGATTTTGGACTTCTTAGCCCCATAAGTTGATTCATTTTCCTTAGAATTCGTTATAAAGTGATTTTGTTATGTTATGTGTTTATTTTCCATTTTCTTTAAATTAAGATTGTTTAAGTGCAATAAACAATTCTTAATTTATTGAAAATATGTTGTGTTCTTCTATGTGAATAGAAAAAAACGTCATTGGTTTGAGAAGTTCATGGAAATCTGTGAAATGTGCTCATCATTAGGAGAAAAGGTTTATTAAAATGCATAAGGTATTGGCGGTTTGTGAATATATTATGCATGAGAGTTAGAATGAAAAAAAAATCGCTCTTTTATAAAATTTTTCTATAGTGGAAGTATGTTTTCATGTTTGATTGGTGAGTTGGGGTTCTAAGGTATATTTCAAAATGGGCCTTTGAATTGCATGACTCCGGGCCGTGTGGAGAGTTGACAATCCTCCATATCGTGGTTAAGGAAATGAATCGACTCGGCCTTTGATTGATTTTTCCTATTCTTAAGTGCGTAAGTTACGTAATATATTGTCTACGTGCCTATTATACGTGTAATGTTCNTTGTTATGTTTAAGTTATAGTATAAGTATCTATGTTTTATTTACTAAGTTAATATATAAGTGTTTTTTATAAGTTATAAATATAAGTTTTTATACTTTTTTAGTATATCTTAAGTATGTGTTTTGTGTTTATAAGTTATATTATAAGTTCTTTGTTTATTTAAGTTATATTTATAAGTTTTTATATTTATTTAGTTATAAGTTTTATTATGCGTGTAGTAGTTAATTTTATTTTTTTTGTGACAATGTGTTTGCATGCTAAATTGGTTTTAAAAAGTACAAATTTTCTTCGTGGGATCGACCCTTACTTGCCCTAGCTATAGTTTTTATTTGATTATATCTTGGGGATTAGTTAAGGATATTTTATAAATTTTTAATTTGTTTTGGACCGCACGACAAGTCCCCAACAATCTTACTTTTTCTTATTGGATAATTCGATCAATTTGACCTTTGTGACCATATTCGACCACTTGCAATTTTTTGATTGAGTTGGTGTTTCACGGAATTTCAACCCTTCCCAAATAGACCTTTTCATTCACTTTTTTTATTACAAATCATTAAATGGTCTTTCAAAACAATAAATTTTTGGATAAAGTTTAGAATATTTAAGTTAATTTTTTACAAATCATAAGGTAATTTTTTACAAATCTTATTGGATAAATTTTTTTATTACAAATTTAGAATATTTAAGGTAATTTTTTCTTGTTTTTTAATTCTTAACATTAAAAAGGTTTCTTGTATTTATTGAAAAATTAGAAACATTACTAATTGCTGGAAAAAAATCCAGAAGTATCATTACTTGGACTTTTTTTGATATGTTATTGGCACTTACTATGAATTTTTTAGTTTTATCTTATTGGCACTTAACGAGACATATTTTTAAAATTAAATACGCTTGGGCCATCAACAGAGTTTCGACTACTAAAAAGAATTTCGAAATATTTCGACCCTTCCCAAATAGACCTTTTCATGCACTTTTTTTATTACAAATCATTAAATGGTGTTTCAAAAAAATAAATTCATATGTTACATTTTATTAGACCACTACCAAATAGAATTTGACTCTGATGGAGTTTGCCCTTATCAGTGACTTGAGCTGCTCGGGAGTTGAATACGTAGTTCGAAGCATAATATGATGCGAATGCTCGAAAAAAAATTTCTTGAAGATCACTTCCCCTTGGTATTCTGTTGACTTAAAGTCTATTGGAGTACCAAAGGGAAGTGATCTTCAAGAAATTTGTTCCGAGCATTTGCATTGTAGTATGCGAATACTCGGAAAAAATTTCTTGAAGATCACTTCCCACTGGTACTCCAATAGACTTTTAGTCAACAGAGTACCAAGGGGAAGTGATCTTCAAGAAATTTTTTTCCGAGCATTCGCGTCATATTATGCTTCGAACTACGTATTCAACTTCCGAGCACATCAAGTCACTGATAAGGGCAAAATCCATCAATGAGTACCTATCCGGTACTCCAAGGACTACAAACCAAAACACTCCACACCATCCCAATACGCAGTAAGAAAAAATATGTTTTCCCAATAATATTTGAAATGCAGGATCAACTCGGGCAATAGTTGATAAAAATCTGCTACTTCATGCCAACCACTTTTCACCATAAACGTTCCCTCCTGCCGGCGTTCTAGTTGAACAATGAACATCTTTTTTGCGGGCCAGAGTATACTACCAATTCGTCCAGGTCGCACAAACACCTCGCAGCCGAATCCGGGATACGCTGGTTGTATTGGAATTCTCTTTAGTGATAAAGAATTAAAAAATAATTAATTGCACTAGGTATGATTACTTACCAATTCATAGTTCGGGTCATGGCTGTCTTTATCCTCTTCCTCCAGATATATGACGAAAGTTTTTGGCATTTTAAGAGGAGTTTTTGTGAATAAAGATAAGCAATTGCACTAGTATATATTGCACTAATATATTAAATGCATTCAAACCATATTTGTATTTCCCCAACTACTCATTAAATGTTGTAAATGCATTCAAAACCTCTTAAATATAATGCATTCAAACCATATTTGAATTTCCCCAACTACTCATGTACCGTCATAAATGCATCCAAACCCTCCTAAATGCATTCAAACCATATTTGTATTACCCCACCCACTCATATACCTACTTAAATGCTGTCAAATACTCCAAAATGTATTATATATATATATATATATATATATATATATATATGGGGAAATGGAGTTTCTAGAGAGAAGCACGAGCAGGAGGAGTGTAGTTTCTAGATGGCGAGGACAATTTGATAACACCGCCACACATTCTAGCTCCAATGGAAACCCAATCCCTTGGCGATGCTCCAAATGCGCAGGACACTGGTTGTCTTCACAGACTCGTGGAAGAGGATTTTATACCAATTCTAGGGAAATCCATCAATGGAATCGGCAGAGAAGATGGCCATTCAAATCCCCAAATTCAAGAAACTTACAGAACTCCTACGTCCTCTCCAGCACACGCCTGCTCCAAGAAGGTGGAAGACCTGTCTTAAACCTTCTCAGCCGCAACTCCACCTTCTCCTTCAAAACTCAATCAAAGGTATTTGAACTATTTCACTCTCATTACAATCAAAACATTTGCATCAGTGAGTGTGGGTACAAAAGATTCCAGATTTGGTTTGATTTGGATAAAATTCGTTGGTTATTGGAATCTATTCCTAGAATCACTGTTAATAGATCCTGGGCTGTTTTCTCATTTGGTAAGTCCCGTACAATTGAAGTCTCAGCGGGAACAAATAGAAGGGGTGATTATATTAAAATTCAAGAGAAAAGAAGAGAAGGAAAGAGTTTCATTTTAATCCCCTTTGGTCTCAGGAATGGTGAAATTAATTTGTTTTTAAAAACTTTATCATTCTTCTTTGACAAGGTTACTAAGATTGAAGTTCCTAAGCCACCAGATAAGACTGCCTATACTGCCCTTCAAGGTCCAGTTCCTTCCCTTCTCCCTATCTTGGAAATTGCAGACTTTGCAGAGGACTCTTCAGTCCGGCAGGTTGCAGAAAAAGAGGGAGATAGTAGTTGTGCTAATATTTCTCTAAGAACTGGTTTGTGCAGCAATGTGTCCCAAGGAGACAAGGACGTTGTTCTGGTTGAGCCCCAATGTGTTGAAGGAACTGTCGCAGAGGCAATTGGGAAGCAAAAATCTGTTGAGAGTCGAGGTAACTCTGACATTTCTTCATGCTCCTTGGTGACAGAGGGTGGTATTGTTGATTCCTTGAAGGGAAGGGTGGAAGTAGCAGGTAGGGACGACCAATTCCATAAGCCCCTTTCCCCCTTTGCAAATGAATTTATCCCCCAATCCAACTCTTTCAGCACTCTTTCACATCTAGGTACAGAAGAAAATGTTTTGGTTTTGGAGGAGGATCCTTTCAAACATTTCAATGAGAAAAGTTTGGTTCTTCATTTTAATGCTCTTGAAGAGAGATTGTCCCCAAGTGACGAACCCATTTGGTACAACCACTCGGATGTTGAAGATGCCCCATTCTGTGTGTCAAAATTAAGGCCTTTAGCAATCGATCTTTCTAGATGCTCGAAAATCTCTATGGATTTACCAAAAGTCTTTAAACGAAGGAAACTCTTCTCTCCTTCGCAGATTGTTACACGTAGTAAAGCCAAGGTTCTTTCCTCGTGTAAAAGCATCCTCCCTTCGGGTAGGTATGTATCAGAATCTGATGACTATTTTGTTAGTGAATATGAAGGTGCTCTGGAAAATATCTGCAGACCAGTTAAAGGTCATAAACCGGTGGACTTTTCTCTACAAGCTCTTAAACCAAAAAAGAAAGGGAGGCAGCGTTCAAAAGCTCAAAAGAAGAAGAAGAAGAGCTTGCAATGATTCCTTCAAGTATATGGAAGATTCTGTATGGGTTAAATTTTAGCTATTTGGTTTTCTTATATGCTGCACTCCTTTGATTTGGGTCTTACTTTTGATTACCCAATATCCTAAGCTTTACCGACCATGGAGCATCTCAAATCTTTGTTCAGTAACTTGAAGTTTCATGAACCATTTTGGCTGCCAATTGATCTTCTTATGAATGAAATTCACAATTTAAGACTCGTATGTCTTGGTTTGCAATAAGGTGAGTTAAGACCTATTGGCAGTGCATTGGTCCCTGTTGCGCTGATGCTTGGCTCTGGAGAAGCACTTTTTTTTTTCATTCACAACGATGGACTCTCAACATAGCCTTGGTGACAATTCGAACCTTGGCCTACTTGCTTTTGGCAGAAACTATCTCTCATTCACAGCATCTTGTTTATTTTCTTTGGATGGATGTCACCAACACACATATATTTGTATCAACACAAATTGGACAGGGACAAGAATGGCAGGGGAGCTACTTTTCTTAGAAACAATAAGGGAATAAGCACTTCTGTTATGGGTTGGCTCAGATGGCCCTCCTCAGCTGGGAATTATAGCTCTTATTGCATCACTGTCTTCTTTTGCTTGAAGTTTAGCCACTTGCACATTAATTTTGGGCGGTCATCACCTTTACTGTCCATCTTTCCTTGTCATTGTACCTTTTTTATTTTTTGTTGCTTCTCATCTAGCCTTTTATACTTGGATTGGCTTTTCATATGGCCTTGTTGTTGGGGTTCGGCCAACCCCCCTCCATTTGTACTTTTCTTTCCTCTTTTCTAATAATATATATATATATATATATATATATATATATATATATATATATATATGGCCTTTTTCCACGCCATCTTGATGTCATGTTCTGGACTGCTTTTAAAAGTGCAAAAATAGGAAGTTCCCTGTCCTCCCTCAACACGCTATTGATTGATTCGGCGCCATTTGTCGTCATGATTTGGTACCGGTTTATTTCAAAATACGTCCTGGCCCATCTTTTCTTTGGGATATTGTCAATGTAATTGCCAGCAGCTGGGTACCTTGCTTTCAAGTCGCCATACAACCTCTTGAATGACCGTTTGGTGTATGCATTTGCAAGGTTCTCAAAAAGTTTATCCAACCC